TTTGTTTCGTTGCTCTATCTTCGATTTATATGACTTCCAAAATTATTGATTTTGAAAAAATTGAAAAATAAAAATTTTTAAAAACAAAACTGTTTTTCACTCACACACAATAGAGATTTTGAGGCTGCGTTTTGTCATCTATATCGACAAAAGTATCTACTATTTAGCTAAATGCGTTTCAAAATTGCATAATGGTTTGGCAGATAAGACTTGGTAAAATACCAGATGAATTCTGAAACGACTACTGAACAGAAAGAGAGAGATAATGGATACCCTGAATATATTATTCGTAAATCTTATCAGAGTAGTAGTCAAAAAAAATATTTATCATAGATTAAATGTCTTCATTGATAATATAATTACATAAAGAAAAATGTATATTTTATTTTAAAAAAAACCTGTCCAAAATACATGTGGGATTTAAAAATAGCTTTTTATATTCATAGATATTGGTTTTGGATTTGAGTCTAATAAAAAGGAATAGAAAACACATTTGTCCAACTAATACTATCATAAACAAGAAAAGAAGTAGGAAGTGTAAAGTTGTTCCATTCCCTTCTCCGTCTCAATGGTCACTGTGGTTATCAAATTCTCCTGCACAAAAGAGAGTGCGTCTGATCAATTTGCCTATACCATTTATATATTGGGAAGAGCAATACTCTATTTTTGTGGTAATTTTATCAGTAGTTCTTCTGGACCTGCTTCAGAGTATCAAAAAGGTTAAGAAGATACTTTTTTTTGGAATAGATTACTACTTTGAAAATCTTGTTTAAGACGTTCATATCTTAGACTAATTGATAAGTTAGGATTTTCATTGTTAAAATCTTGTGAAGAAATTGAAAATATAGTTGAAGGATCGAAGAAAAGTTGATCGAAATCAGCGAAGAATTTTTCAATGGAGATAAATCAACCATTCAATAGAAAATCATCATCATCATCATCATTGTTATTGTTCATTTTGATTTTTACTTAAATATGAAGAAATCAATAAAAATTATGTCTTTACACATTTTATTATCTTTAGTTCTATTGATGTCTTAATTATATAGTATAATATCGGCATAGCTGGATTATTATTAGGAAGTATATACATATCGATGTTATTCACAAGATGTAGGGTATAGATGAGATAAAGAAATAGACTCACACTCGACACTCAAATCAATCTCATCTTAGGGCTATTGACATGGCTAAGTTTATGAATTATATCCTGTTAAATACTGTAGAATATTGTAAGTTTCTATCTTTATGTGAAAAAATTTGCTGCTGTTTAAAGAAGGGATAGTGTCGAATTGTTTATCGATATCAATCCTACGAAATTACTCCTAGCAATCTTGATAATTGTACGAAAAATATCTGCCACATGCTCTATTATTAGAATTAATTTGTACAATGTGTTTTTACTAATTTCATTGAGCGCATATCTTCGATAGTTCATCATGGCATGTCTAGTTTTTCGGAAGATTTTTACTATTGATTTAGACAGAGCTAATTTTGTGTTTTCTTTTGACAATCGAACAATCAGTTGCAACAATATCTACAGATTCATTCTTTCACTCGTAATGTCTTGACTTTCAATTAATTACAAAATAATTATCCAAGAAGATTATTATTATACTAGGAATCTTTCGTCCAATCATATAGGTATTAGTTTACAGTCTGAAACATAATGCTCTATTACATGATTATGTATAACTTATTGGTGCCAATTAATCACTTTTCATCTTACTATTCTTCAGATATGTCATTGCGAGTATATTTATATTCATGTTCAGTCATTGTAAAATTTTTCTAAAGTATATATTACACTAGGCTAATATCTAATGGATGAACTTTTCTTTAATTTTAAGATCAGTAATACATGTTAATATGTGAAGTACAGAACTCGAACGATACGATCGTTTATGTATTATGTTGAACTGTACAAAACACTATGCAGTAAACTCACGATTAAGGTAAAACTAGATACTATTCGAGATTCTCTTGAATACGAAATATGATGCAAGGCAAAAATCTCAATTGTCAGAAAAAGACTCATCATGTGTGGGAATTCATTATCAGTCGCTTTTGTACTGAAGATGTTCAAGCAAAAAAAAATGAACAAAATTTTTCTTTTCAATGCGTTTCTAAATAATATAATCAGAAAGAGTAGCAATTGATACTAATATAAAATATATAGCATGTGTCATATTTTGCAACATAAGGTACTCGTTGAGATACATTCAAAACATATGATGTGAGTTTCTTCTTCGGAAAGTCTCGTAGTTTCTTTTTTCTTTCATAAACTTGAATTCTTATCAATAACTCTTGAAATATAAGACTAAGATCTAATTGCGTCAATTTTATTTGATTCTAATTAAATAACTTCGAGATAGTTTAATATTGATGATCAATTGATCTCTCTCAATATATTCGGAACTAAAGATAAAAATATTTATCATACGACACATTTTTATGGAGCAGTCTGTTGTATGCTTCATTTTAATGCATTGATCGAATATAATACGAAAATCCAAATTGATTTATGATAGTGAATAGATTATACTGTATTGTACTTTTTCTGAAATGAATCATTTTGTGGGTAGTAAGACCTCAATTAATCTTTTATATGTATGCATCAATCTTTTTTTTCTTTCCTTTACAGTGATAGATATCATCAATGACGATAACTTATCGTCCATAAAAGTGTGGATGTGGTTTTGCATATGACTCATTGCTTTATCCACAACCACACTTTCTATTTTCTTACAGAAAAATTGTCTCGTGTTCATGTCAATCTATGTTTTATTCATTTCAACATAGAACCCAATAGAACTTCTTTCTTAGAACAGTGATGCTTCAATAGTTATCATTAATCGAATGATGGAATAAACATGTAACGAGTGTCTTATTGCTAGTCGTTGTCTAAATTTACCCGATCTGAACCACCTGAAATCATATTAAAATGAATTTCGTTGCATTTGTATGTTTATTTTTGGCTTCCTTTTGATTAGAATGTGAGTGTGGTTGTGGGTGGGTGTAAGTGCGAGTCGGATATGGATGCGAATCTTCTCTGGGTTCACACAGACTCCAATAAGAAATATTTTAATCGGTATGCTGGAAAGTAAAATATACGTCTTAGCACATTGACTGAAGATTTATGATCATGAAATTAAAGATAATTTAAAATACATATAGGTTGACGGAAGCGAAAACTCTGCGACTGGTTATTTTAGTAAATTCCTATCATACTATTTTCTTTTCAGTAGAGAGTTTAGCGACGCCAACGTCGCGTTACTTGTATTATATCATAATTCCTGACGCTGTTTCGAGTTTCTATGTTCTTTAGTTTTGTTAATCATGTTTTTGCAACATGCTATCTGTTAAAAGAAGCATTCCTAGGTGACTTTCCAGATTTATCGATCGACCGCAGTCTTGTTATTGTCACCCGTACATAGATTCTGAACAGCGTAACATACCACAGATAATATCAATCATACACTTAATAAATGTAAGTGGCGTGCGACTCGCACCAGTTATCTTACTGCATTAGAAACTCCAAAGTAAGAAAACGTCTTCAATATGAAACAGATCTTCTAGCAAATAAACTGAATGACGTAGATTAATTATGAAGCAATTCAAAAATAATAATTTTTAAACTAATTCAATTTTTATCACATTTACCAATACTTTTAATAGTATTTGCTAAGGTCTATTAGAATCTGCGGGATCTTCTTGGGGATGAGAGTAGAAGTACATACACATGCAGTCTCTTCCCTGAGGGTGTAGGTGAGAATGAAAACACACACACATTCATAGGAAGACTGGAAAGACCATAGAAAACCTATGTAGATTCTTGTAGATCTCACCTGACCCTATCAATATGTTATAACTTTTATATCAATGTGCAAGTAGAAGTACAACTTGTATTATAATCGTCTTACTTACTGACATGTATAATGGCAGTAGATGTCAGTACATGGAATGAATTCTTGAATTTTACGTTCCAAAGAAGAGTGAGTGAGGGTGAGAATAACTGAAATAATTCTTGAGTGTGGCTATGCGGATGAATTTGATGTAGTGAAATCTTGAATTCTGAACTTTTGAGAGTCATATCCATTTCAGAGTACAATATGTACTTGTATTTGCGCAGTCCTCAAGACGATTTCAAAATAGTGTGCATTATTTAGTAAAAATAATATCTTCATCTTTTTTTATAGTTACTTTCAATGAAGTTGATATTAATATGGAAAGGCCGTTTTTTTTTAAATAAATTAGTAAATATAAAAAATATCGTGAAAGTTTTAAATAGGAAAATAAATCGATTTCGACTAAATTTGAGAAGCATTATTGTAAAAAGAATTTGACGATATACTTTTTAATAAAATTCAATCTCATTATTCATAAGTACTCGTATGTTATGTTGCCATGTCTCTAAAACATTTTTCTTCTTTCCAAATTAGAAAAATCATTTAAACTACATGCAGTTAGGAAACCATTTGTTTCATTGGTCAGTGTACAGTAATCACACATCTATAAACTGATCTTATATCACTATGAGACTATGACTCGATATGTCATAAAGGGAGATATAGAGTAATTGGAGGTAAATGTATAGAAAAAAATAGTGAGCTTCAGTATATTGATAACAACTTTTTTTATTTTTTGTTCATATAGCTGAACTGTTTTCCTATCGATTAATGAAATCATTTTCTCAAAATCTTGCGAGCTCACGTATCTTCAGGATGTTCTTTGAATCCTGCTTGTCGATTGTACATTTATTACAATGAAAAATAAAAAAAGTTGTTATCAATATACTGAAATTCACTATTATTTTCTATACATTAACTCCCAGTTACTCTATATTGTTTATAACTTGATTCAGCAGTTATATTCGAAGAATAAAAGTGGCGAATAATAAAGTCACTATAATACTGATTTTTCTGAATTTCAGTAGTCATTTGCGTTTATCCTTATAAAATACAAGTTATGGTAGATTTGGTGAAATTGTAGAAACATAGATGCATGATGCAATTGTTGAAGTAAATTTTAATTTTTTCGAAAAAAGACCGAATTAGAATTATAAAACTCATTTTAGTTGTTGATTTGATAATAATTACAAAGAATATTTTGGTAATATTATCACTAAATTGAAAAGTTTATTTGCGTAAAATGTATTTTGTAGAAGATTGTAAGCATCATCTACTATCATAAGATTATGTGTCCTCTAGAAATAAAAGCCTGAAGACAAGTAGAGAAAAACTCTATTGTGTCTTCTTAAAAAATTGTTCGTATTATAAACAGATGAATAATACTGATAATAATTAATAATACCAATTGAAGAATAGAAGAATATATACACGTTTAAAAAAAATGAAAAAACAATCTAAACAGTTGCCAGGGCTAGTTCTATAAAAAAAAATTTGCGTATATTTCAATAGAATCACTTAACATTTTCGTGTAAAATCTCGACAACAGCGCTAAGCATTAACATACGAAACGAATACAAGAATGCACCCAGGTCAAACCTGCTCGGCTGTAAATGATCGTTCACTGACCAAACACGGCAAATAACGGTGACTGGTTACATTAGCCATTTACAGCAATCGTAGCAACACGGCGACCGTAAACGCTGATATTATAAAATTTCGTAAGTAATCGTATTCATTAGTTTTCCACAGTAATTACGTACTTAAGGCGATCGTGAACGATGCTTTACGAAGCTTTTTCTGGTCATTGTGAACAATTACCTTAAAAAATAACCATGTACGACTTCTGTAACACTACACCAACTATATACGTTCATTGCATAATATCGCGACATACTTTCTGTATCAACTGGGAATGGTCTGATACAGAAACACTATTTTTTTAAATCTTATTTCATCGCAAAGAAATCGCTAATGTTAGGCAATTGCTATTATTCAATATAAATAATATACTCTCATGATTAAGTGTACCAGTTGACAGCTAAAAGTACTTCCATTTCTACAAAGTTGAGAAAGACTTCAGTTCTATTTTCAGATATGAGAGATACTTCTATCAATCAAATAAAGCACACATAAAAAAATATATTCACACTGAGTACACAGATAACAAACGCACAAAAGTTAGACTAAAACTGTCCACTCTTTGAGTAAAAATTGGTTTTTAGCTATTCACAACATCATGAAACAATCACGATTTTTCTTTCTTTTCTAGACTTTATCAATCCTATACATAGGGGTGCATCACATGTTTGTGCTCTTTCGAGTTGGAGAATAAATAGAAGTAACAAGTATGAAAAATCAATTTTTTAGTAGTATTATTCATAAAAGAAACGATCGTCCCTACCTTTACAAATCGCTTTTTGTCTCAAGTATCTCATTCCGAGTTATTTTGGAAACTTAAAAATCTACTTTCATACATAGGAACCTTTTTTTGAATGATACCTGGTTTTGGAGATAATTACGATCTTCAAAAAAATGATCTTTAATGATATTTTTCTTCGAAGTAATTACATCATATTAGAATATTTTTGGTGCTGGAACTTATATTTTGATAAAGAAAAAAGGAGGAGTGTAGAAGAGATCTTTAAAAATTTCTTGATGGCTATCAGATGCCTCTACTTTGTTTTGATTTTCCAAAAGCGGAAACAGCTGTATATGGTCGTTTCTGTTTACCGTAATGCTCGGTGTAGGAACAATATACTTAAAATTCTTCTCGAATGTTATACTTATTATTTGCAAATATTAAAAGACAAGAAATCTCTTTAAAAAAAAATAGATAAAAGACACAGATGAGAAATAACTTGAATAATATTATAAATATAATGTCAGAATGTAAAACTTTATTTAATATATTAGATTTTTTTTCTTGTATAATTTATTTTAAATGTTTAGGTAACTGATAAAGAAATGAAAATAAAATCGACAAATGGTAATGCATCTCGTTTGAATAATGATAATAAAATATTAGAATATATTTTTCCATATATAAAATATAAATTTGACAATCTATTTGCTCATGGTTTAATTTTTATTATTCCATTATTAACTATTATAACTGTATTTATTATATTAATATTTAGTATAATTTATTATTTTACTAAAAAAACAGATAGTTACAAAGATGCATTATGGCAAACATTTCCACGTATACTTGATTCATGTGCAGCAGCACACGATGAAGGTTGAAAACATCGACTTATATCTGGAGGGTGTGAGTGTGGGTGTTGGTTAGGCATGCACCAAATCCAGTCAAACCCAAATCCTGGATTTGACAGGGTTTGACTAGATTTGGATTCGGGTTTGACTGGATTTGGGGTGTAGGTGTGGATGTGGGTGTGGGTGTGGATGAAGTTGAAGAGAACCAGATCCATATCGACACCCACCCACACCCACACCCACACCCACACTTCATACGCACACGCACACCCACACCCTTGTTCAATGTCATTATTCTCATCATTGATCGATAATTGATTGATGGTTTTTTGAACATTAATGATTACATTATCTGAGGGATTTCTAGTTCGACATATTCTCGGTTAATGTTTAGACTTATTGGATGTCATCTCAAAAATAGAATTAATTTGTTTTCCGACTAAAATTATATTATTATAGTTAATCTTAAGTTAAGACTGACAGTTACATCTTATCAAAGATGACCACAGCATACCAAAGCTATATATGTGGTCAATAATAAATTGGCAATTGAGAATTAAATCAGAACAAGTGCATCTTTGAGAGAATCGGTTTTTTTTGTTAGCAGAGAAGAATGTATGTTAGTTTCAAAAACTGATATCACTTGGTGTTGTATGAACTTTAATAAGAGGAATAATTAATGGATTGCTTCGATCATGTTTTCTATACAGTAGGTATCTCAAACATTCAGTTGATACACAACATGCATTTAGCAAATAAACACTCTGGATGTTCGATTATGAATGTTAATTATTCACGTTAGTTAGCAAACAGATCAATCATTAATAAGAAAAAAAAGCCTGCAAGTTGCAGAAGAAAAGCAACAAATGTAAATGGATATTGAGAAAAAACAGTTGCACCCGTCATCAGTAATATCAGCAAACTTTCATAAAGTCGCGATGGCAATCAAGAAACAAGAGAATCAACAGTTGTGTTCATGATTTGTGATATTCAAGCAAATTAAGCAATTAGTCAAAGAAAAAATTCTTTTAAAATTTAAATATATTTACTAATACTTGACGTTTATTTTGTTAAACACTTCGACATGTTTTTAAGAAAATCTTAAGCAAATTCATATGTATTCAATTAGTTATGAGTGATATCAATCTACAGCAGAATCATGAAACATAATCTTACGAGCTGGCTGGTGTAAGTTGAACTCTGAAGAGTGTCACGTTCATTTCATCAAACATGATCTATCGCTTCGTATGTTCTTTTTTTGTTCACAGTTAATATGAATCAAAGGAAGAAATTTCTTTCCAGCTATGTTCTTTTCTTTAGCTAAACAATTTCTAATTTTACATGTTCTGATCTATATGTATGTTTGTTCACTTCAAAAAGTTCTTCAACGGCTTGAATGTATTCATGATGAAGTTTGTCGACGTCATTATCAGTTGGGTTAGTGTTTTGTTTAACATGAATAGGTTTACCTACTATATAAAAATAGATTCTTTTATTTTATATGTAAATGAGAATATTATTTATATCTTACCAACAGTAACTACAGGATGCCGAAGTGGTATATATCCAGCAAGAAGCCGACCCCAAATTATACCATTGGGTATTAAATTACAATGAGCACGTCGTCGATAAAGTTCATTTTCTCCAAATGAAACTACGGGTACTAATGAAGCACTAAACACAACAAGTATGTTTGTTATTATTCATCTGATCTTTGAAAAATTATTCTTACCCATATTTTAATGCTAGTCTAACGAAACCTTTTCGATTCTTTAAATACAATTTCATAGTATTATTTCTCGTAAGATTCTGTTCACGTATACCACCAATGACGATGACTAGTGCATTACCCTGACCAGATTTTCCACTTAACAAATACTCACAACTATCTTTTGATACATCACATATACCTGAAATTATTCAGTACTCGTTTTGTTTATTTATAAGATATAAAACATTCATATACCTAAGCTAAGACATAATTCACGTGTAAATGGACATAGAAATTGTAGGCGAAGAATCATTAAATATGATCGAATATTTGGAAAAAGAGTAGAAAAATATGTTGCATTTGTAGCAAAATTACCGAATGCACTGAAAGAAAAGACTCCATGTGGATGAAATCCAAATATATAATTTCGATTTGGATCAAGATCTTCACTTTTAATTAATTGAAGAGGAAAATAATTTGCAAAATGTGTAAATATAGACCATTGACGAATTCGATTAGACAATCGACCTCCTTGAGAATCTGTATGACGATCAAAATACATCCAAAAACCATATATAAGACATAGTGTTAAAGTCATAGGTAAAGACCAAAACCATGATAAAAGAATAACTATAAAAAGTGTTATTAAAGGCGAAAATAGAGCAAGAGTCCAAATTATTAATACTGCAGAAAATTGTAAAAACCGAGCAAAGTCTATCATCTAACTAGTATTAATATATATAAATTAAAATGTAGAGCTTTTTTTGAATTTATTCTATTCTAAGTCTTATTACTGTCACAATAGTTTTGATAATAGAGTCATCAAGATAACAAAGAAAGGCATCACATGATTTTTTTTCTGTCTGTTATTTTTTTTATATGGGTAAATAACCAACAGACATATACGGAATGTTCTAAAAAGATGTCGTTGACTATCATGCATCTGACTTATATAGTGGGGTAAGTCGGATCAGAAATCAAAAACTTCATATTATTTTTTTTCGTTCTCATTCATTTTATTCAATAGAGGTTTGAATTTTTGACCACAACTACACTCTAAAAAAATAGATTCTTTACTGAACCCCCAAAAAAGGTTCTGGAGATTTCGGAAAGCATCCAAATGTGTCAAAAGTCGCAAAAAAGGATAAAAAAAAAATCTGCGAAACCTTTTTTTAAGTTCCGTAGAGCAAAAAAAGGTTTCGTAGGAAAATACGAAACCTTTAAAGTTTCGTATTAAATTCTACAAAATCATGAGGGTTTAGTGCGAAACTATTAGATTTTAATATGAAACTCTAAAGGTTTCGTATTTTACTACGAAACCTTGTTTTGCTCTACGGAACTTAAAAAAAGGTTTCGCGGGAGAAGGTTCTTATTCTGGGTACACCGAAAGAACCTTTAAAGGTTTCGCAGATTTTTTTATCCTTTTTTTGCGACTTTTGACACATTTGGATGCTTTTCGAAATCTCCAGAACCTTTTTTGGGGTTCAGTAAAGAACCTATTTTTTTAGAGTGTGGAGCAAACTCTACTCTCTCTATTGATGAAAGAATCTCCAAAAACTAATGTATTACAAAAAGTATCAGCGAAAATGGCAAAGGTTCTGACGAGCTGATCTGAATTACTCCAGATGGGGTAACTCGAATCAGTCATACAATCTTGTCTGGGCAATTTCGATCAATCCAGCAAAAATGGCTGGCACATTTTTCTCCAACTCATAAATCTTGTTTTCATCGATCTCCATATGAAATAAAAATCATTGGATAGCTCAAAGTCTCATCTGTGGGACCTGAGAATATTTCGATGAATGAGCACACTATCATATGACATTGAATATAAACTATAAGAGCATCCTAAATCATGCAAATTGCATTTGGGGTATTTCGGATCATTCTACCTATTAAAGTTAGATATTATTTATGAAATTCTACAGCTCTCATTGTGATCTTTCCAGTAGAATTTCTAAGTATATTTAAGTTTAAAAAATAGTCTTAGTGCCGTGAATCAATTTAACAACGACACTAATGAATTATTAGGATTATTGAATATCATGTCATCAGTTTTCTATATTGAAATAGTGCAATAACTATTATTCAAATCTTTCAAATTTAGGCTTCAAATGTTTGAGGTTTGTGGTTGAATGGGTCAAGTTCAATAGATTTCTCTTTATATTTCAAAACTAAAGATAATCAAGATTTCATTACTCCTATATCGACATTGTATGGATTGATTTTTCGTTTTATTTTACTTTATCCAGACAAACTTCACATTTAATTTAACGAACAGACAAGAAAAAGAGAGGATGAATGATCATCCTAGATATATCTGGATATATTTTATTGCCATATAGTTTCTCTCTCTCGCAATCTATATATATGTGCACTTCTTGTATTTTAATTCTAGTTATCTTACTAATCATTTGTCTGTTAATTGTTAGTCTTTCGAAAAGAGAAACACGCTACCAAATGACACGAACATATAAAAAAAACTACAACTAAAAAATACAACAAAAGTAATTTTCAAATGGCTGTCGATTTAGTTAAAGAAGGATATCCTATTCGTGCAGCCGCAAGAAAATTTTCTATTCCTTATACAACTTTGAATTTACGCATAAATAATCAGGTTTCTTATGATCGGATTGGTTGACCAACATTATTTAGTGGAGAAGAAGATTATTTAGAGCAAGCAGCTCTTCTTTTACAAATAACATACTATTTTTTTTATTAATTGATTGTTTTCTAAATATTTTTGATTGAAAGAATGGGGATGTACTATTAACAATCAACGAATCGGTAAATTTTAGTAAACAATATGCATCATCTCTCAATAAAATGCATTTATTTTCATCAGGAACACCAATATATGATTGGCTTTATACGTTTTTGAATTGTCATCACAATCTTATTTTAAAAAATTTTATCCATTAGAAAGGAAACGTGCAGCATTGACATACGAGCAAATGGATAGTTGGGTTTAGTTGTTAAATTAGATTCTTCAGGAAAATAATTTATCAAATAATCCTGTTCAAATTTTCAACTGTGATGTATCCGGTAAACTTAAAATATCCATTTGAATAAGAGATTTTAGCATACTTTGATCTTATTATCGACGTGTCCGACAATATCAGTTATTCTAGAGTCATTGTTCATAGACAGACGTCTAATGCTTACCGTATTCAAGGTGGTACTGGAGGAAAATCATATATAAGCGTAATATTTTGCGTTTCGTCTGCAGGTGTTCTTCTACCTTCATTTATTACATACAAGTCAAAACGAATGCTGGATGAATGGTGTATTGTCGGGCCTTCGGATGCTGGTTATGATTGTTCAAAAAAGTAAGATTTTTCGAAGTAGTGATGCAGGTTCTCGACGCGAAGAATGCTTATACGTCTGACGAAATACCTAGATTCCATACTAATGTGTTAAAAAAATAAGGACACTTAGTTTTACGATATCTATTTTGTTGTTGAAAATGCATCGTTTGCTCTATTTTTTAAACTCAATAAACACAAATAAACTCTGTCAGTATTTCCTATAATATACATACAGTCTAATTAGTAAATTGTGTACAAAATGTGGTACATAAAGGTACAGATCCTCTTCGTCAGTCTGAATGACTTGGATGATCTCTTGAACATATATTATTATTCTTTGTTAAAGCTTAGATTAAATTTCAGTTTGGTTGAAACACCCTGCATACGTCGGTTTTTTTCCAATTAAAATAAAGTTTTTTTAGCAATCAAAGGAATTCTAAGGATTTACTAGACTGTCTTTTATTTGTTTTTCTGGACTTTCTTTTTCTCAATGATCATCATTACAATGATTCATACAAAATAGAGCATTGTCACTATTGTGTTGATTGAGAGAAGTCAACATATAGTCATAACACGTTAGTCATGCATCATCACCTTCTTATTCTTTCAAAATGCAAGAATGCATCGCATCGTCAAGTCATAGAGTCTGCTATTTTTTTTCTGTATCAATATGTAGAAAACATGTTTTTCTGATGAGGGGACGTTCCCAAATGATTCATTGCTTTTGATCCCATATTTTATCCACAATTAGCTAATCCATATACTAGAAAAGCCCTAAGAGTATACAGGTTGATGTTGCGATTTGACTGAAATAATGAAATTTTTCTCAAATTTCCTTCCAGGACCTTTACTTTCCAGCAAAAGTGTATTCTCAAATTTTGATCTAAAATTTTATCTACATAAGGCCCGCGATTAGATTAGCTTTGGGAAAAAATTTTAGAATTTTCGGATATAATATCAGTGATATATGAATTTTTCGAAAAATAGACGCCTTTTCATAGATATTGTCGAAAACATGAATACTTTGAAAAATTCTTCTCTTACAATGGAGGTTCGTGTACTGTAACCGAGCTAGACTTGATATTTTAGCATCAAAAGATAGCTCTCATCGTCAAACTAACAAGGTTAAAATATTAGCGGCTGTTGACGTTTCCTAAGGGAGATATTCAATTTTTACGGTATTATCGGTTTGGGATGTATAAGTATATACAGTCCTGGACAAAAGTAACCGCCCCCCCCCCCCTGAAGTAGTTCGAATTTTAATGATATCGAGCTGATTTTTTGTGTACATGTGAGTCATGATTAATCCTGATCGCAAGCACTGACCCGCTCTCAATTGATTGCTGTACACTGGAGTTATGCATCAAACATTGTCTTCACCTTGTGATGACTACATCTCAGCTGCTTTAATACATTTATTTTCGCGGAAGTTCTCATTTAAAAGCTCATCATCGGAACTATCTCCAGTACAAATTTCGTAGAAAATTATATTAAAATGGCTAAGATATGATTTTCTCAATGAAAATTTTTGTTCATCGATTAAGTCAAATTTCCGTTCGGTCATATGTAACTCAGGATGAGTTTGACAGATTTACTTGCAAAATTTCAGTATAAACTTCTCATGTGCTCTTGAGTATTTTCTGAAAGTTTCATAACTGCAACTTTTAATAAAATCTATATACAACTACAAGAACACTCCTTCATGACATTGCTTGCCAATCGCTGAAATTTCGATGCTGTGCAGTGAGCTTTTGATACATAAAGCTATGAACATAGAACTTTGTTTCTAGCTCAGAAAATCACCTAAGACCAGATCTGCAACAAGAGAAACAAATAGAATAAATATGACTCGAAATAAATGAGACTTCTAGTTATAAAACTAAAATGAATTCTGTTAAACGTTTATGAGTTAACTTAAATCTTTTTTTCTTATTCGAATAAGTTTTCGAACACAAGAGAACAATCAATCATCTGGTTCAATAGATATTCTTTTTATTGTTGCTAGTTCTGATTGTACAAAATACAGAGAGAAGCAATAAAGATTAGTACATTGTATAATCTCCTTCGGATTCAATCAATGCATTGATGCGGTTTGACATACGTAACATCAAGTTTGTAGCTAATTCCTTCGGTAGCAGCTTCCATTCTTTTTTGATTGCCTTCACCAGCGTCAATAAATTTGTTAGCTTTCGTTGTGAAACCTTGGTCTTCAGAAGTGCCCAAAGATTTTCAATCGGATTCATATCCGGGCTGAGTGGAGGCCATGGAATATTTACTACATTATGTTGTAGCTTCCACTCTTTTGACCAACGTGACCTATGTTTTGGGTCGTTGTCTTCGAGAAGAAGCCATTCACGATTACGTCCAAAATGAGCTCGTGCAGTAGGAAGCAGACAGTTTTGGTAAATATCAT